AACCCGAAACGACGAAGAGCATTGGCAGCAAGATGGATCCCAACACACAGCTCGAGAGAGGGAGATCGCATCCGCAGGACCCCATTCAGCTGAGCCTCGACGCCGTCACTCGCCGTCTCGTGCGTCCGGGCTTTCTCCACAACCTCACGCCGTCGAGATTGCCCTCGCAGGCCGCCTCCGACTCGTCCTTGTCCCCTGGCGTCGAAGCCCCACTCTCCTCTGAAGCACGGGACTCGCACCATCGCCATTCTCATCTCAACCTCGCCGTCTCTTCCAGCGATGAGCCCGACCAGGTAGACCTCGTTTCTCCGCTGCTGACGGAGCCGTGTGCCGACGGCAAGGCTCAGGGCGTGGACCAGCGCGTCGTGGAGCACCTCGAATCCCACTTTGTTGGAGCCCGCCGGGCGTACGCAAACATGACTTCGGAACGCAACTTCCAGCCATTTTCCCACGGCCATCAGGATCTGGTTCTTGCTGTTGATTTCAATTATTTCGGCACCCGCATGGTCACAGCAAGCTCCGATCATCGTCTCAAGGTGTGGGACAAGAAAGACGATTCCTGGACTCTGGTGGAGAACTGGAAGGCTCACGATGCAGAGATTGTCGATGTGAGTACCACCGCGTTGTTATCTAATCACCCACCCCGGCTTGTGCATCCTCCACCTGCCACGCTCAGCTTCCTCTTATAGCTACTCTAATATGTGCCAGGTCAAATGGAATGGCCCGTTTATGGGCGAAGTCATTGGCAGCGTTGGCGAAGACGGTCGCTGCAAGCTCTGGCAAGAGGACGTGACAGAGGTGCCCATGTCGAGCAGCCGCTTCAAGTTGATCACCAACCTTGCATCGCAGACAAACGCGCCGTTCATGTCTCTGGACTTCAAGAACATTATGCAAGAAACCTGGCTTGCTTTGATTACGCGAGACGGCCTTTTGACCATCTTCGAGCCGTCGGATCAGAGTAGCCTCAATGAATGGTCCCTTCTAGCGGAGCATTGGGTTTGCGGTGACAATCCGCCAGAGCGCCAGGAAGAAGTGGGCTTCAAAGTCGTCTTCCATAAAGAGAAGCTGCCATGTTACACGGCCATCATGGCTGGTCTGGACCGCAAGTCGCTCTCGCTCGCTGTGGCAGCCATGCGAGATGTCATCATATTCCGCAGTGATAAAGCCAAGGTTTTCTACCGCGTAGCAAGGCTGAAAGGCGCTCGACAAATCATTCGCGATCTCGCCTGGGCGAACGGCGCTATGAGAGGCTACGATATCCTTGCCACTGCAAGCAAGGACGGTGCTATCCGCATTTACGAGTTGTCAACTCCACGCTCTGATAAATCTTCGACCACGGGAACGTCTTCAACTTCGACAGCCACAGACCCAGTTTCTTCCCCACAGCCACCAGGGAGGCCACGCAGGAATGCTCCATCGGGAATCGGCGCTGGATTAGCTGGCACTGCTTCGAGGATAACTGACCAGTCTTATGATATTGAGCAGCACCCTGGCCGTATTAGGCAAGTCGCGAAGTTGGTGGACGAGCTCACCAACCATCATGGCGCGGTCTGGCGAGTCACCTTTTCCCAGATGGGTAAGTTCATGTCACTCCATAACATTTCGAAAGACTGACATGGCCAGGTGATCTTCTAGTCTCTACCGGAGACGATGCATCGATCCGTACCTGGAAAAAGGCCGTCAATGGCCATTGGGCCGAGTATTCTGAGATCGAAACGGCACGCGATCACTAGCTTTAAGCGCATTTAGGGGGACATTTTCACCAGCAGGCGTTTTGGATAGTCTCGATGCTGGGGCGGCTTTCTTTGGTTGGAGTTTAGGTTGATGGGGGCACTCTGATTTCCACCTGGCGTCGAAATCACACTGCATTGAAGATACCCTCCGAGCAATTCCTCGATATGGTAACATGTAATCATGTAGTCGCCTATTTGCAGAACACTTTCAAGGAAGGAACAGTTATAGATTTGCAGCTCGATTTTGCGCATCTTTTAGAAACATCTGCTAATAATCCACAGATGTTGATAAGAGGTTTGGTGATTTGCTATCGGCGTACTCTTCCTCGTGTGACGTGTGACATGCTCAGGTGCTCTCAAATTCCTCAGTCTCCCTGCCAGCCACACAGCATTCCAACCCTCCTCCCCAAAACCGATATATGTTAACTTGTTTTTTGCTTTGTCTATCCGCAAACATACACATCTGGAGCTCCGTGACGACATCATCGTCGTGGTCGGGGCTCCCTATTCACCCTCCTCATGGAATCAAGTCCTACGTTTCCCTCAAACAAGAGACACGCAATGCATTTCCGTCGTCAGTCACCCACTAACGATTTCATCACCGCCCGTTTCCCCAATCCTAAGGTTGGGCATCTGTCTCCAAGCAACGTCTCCATTTCAACCTACCACACGCCGGAGACAATCGAAGAAGCGCTCGCTTTATCTTCAGCACTACCACAGCCAGTGCAACACCATGCGAAGAATGCCTCGCAATCCCGACAGCCTCTTCAGCGCTCGCAGTCCTCGAACTGGTGGATGGAGATCCGTAAAAGCCCAACCCCCAAGCAAGAGCCACAGAGCCGGAAAACCAACCATGCCACCATCATAACAGATGCAACCGAGACCCAGCCAGCATTCGAGAGCGACCGCTTCGCAATTCAGATGCCCACGACCCGCGAGCCCATCCTCGATCCGCCCGTCTTCCGCGCAAAGCTGCCTTCGCCATCGAGAGCCCAGGTTGAAGCGTACCAAACCTACAAGAAGAAAGCCCAACAAGTACGGGAAACAAACCACAAGGACGGCGTACGAGTGCCCTCGAAGATTATCTCGTATGACTACGCAAACAATACGTATGCGGGATATACTCAACCGATGGAGCTAGACGTCAGTCCTCCCAACAGCCCTCCGAAATTCACGCCTGCTGGTGCGTTTCCCATCAGTCCTCCAATTCCACAGCACACATGGGGCGCTCAGCCCAAACATCATCACATCCAAGGCCCCCGCTCCATGAGCGACTCCACCCACCTCAATATCGCGAGCAAGCCCGTCGAAGTCGGAAACATGCGCTCCCATGACCGACGCGTGTACCACCGCGGTGACGCCTCGTCTGGAGCAGCTTCCCACTTCACCACGCCGTCCCTAGAGAAAGACAAAATCAAAGTCCGCCTCAAACCCCCTACGGCTACTAGAACCAGAGAAGACAGCCCACAGAAAGAATCCTGGTGGACCCTGTACAATCGCTCGCCGCAGTCATCCACAGATGGCTCGAGGAGTCCAAGTCCAACAAAGTTGAGCTTTAAGCACACGACGGTGCCTGTGATAGCGGATGCCGTGTTCGGTCATGGGGGTCAAGGCATCAGCGGGACATCAGCAGCAGCGAAGCCAAAAGACAAAGCCGCCAATACGACAGCAGCGAGCGGGAACGGGAGCGGTAAAGCGACGCCGAAGCACGCGCAGACGAGCCGATGGGCATGGCTCCGGCCTGCAGGCCCTCGCGTCGCCAAACCCACTCACACGCACGTCCCTGCAAAGGCTACCACGTACGTAGACCCGTTTGTGCAGCATGCGACGCCCGCTCCTACCCACCCCAACACGCCCGTCTCCTCGCGGCCCAACTCCCCCCGAAAGCTCGCCCCCCGCCACGCGCCTCAGGGGCCCCCGCCGTCCAAGCCCAAGGGCAAATTCGAAACGGGCTTTGCCCAGGTGACTACCTTGACCAGTCTGGTTATTAGAGTGTGTTTGATTGTCTACGTGTTGGTCGGGTTGTACTTTCTGCTCGATGCGGTTCGAGAGGCGGTTCATACGTTGGGGGCCCCGTTTAGATTGTTGAAGGGCGTCGGGAGATGTGCTTGGGGAGGGGTGGTGTGGTTGGGTAGGTGGTTGGCGTGGGCATGGGAGAGGTGGGGAGTTAAGATTGTGGCAAGGGGGGGATGGAGGGGGCGGTGGTGGTAGAGAGTGGGCATCATAGTGGAGGATGGGCATAGTAGGTAGACGGCGGATGGTGTGCTTGGGGTTTTGTGATATTTCGGCGGACTGTTTGATGGAGGAACTAATTAGAGCACTGTTGGTCGGAAGCGTCTCTCATGGTGTGTAATTTTCACAGCACTAGAGTAATAGAGTAGTGTAGAAGGATGATGTCACTGATTAATCACTTGTAACGGACGGAATTCTTAAACTTCTGCATCAGAAAATTTCAAGTTCGAGGGAAATAGTGTTCTTTACTATCCAGTTTTTCGTGTCTTCTTGATATGTGGTGGTGCAGCGAATTGCGAATTGCTTACTATTGATTGATTCTGGCGTTGAGATGATAAAACCTATGATATGAATACGCGGGGCTCAGAATCCCTTTGTCTCCTTAGAGCTGGTATTCCGCGATGGCCGACGCTTCCTGATGCCAGCGAGCTCGAGGCCGAGCTTTGCCTTCTCATGCATCATCATGGTCTCATATACTGTGTGACTAAAGCTGGCATTTCTCAAAAGCCCGAAGATGAAATTTGGAGTAGGAAAGAAGCACGTGGAGAAGAAGCTATTGAAATATGTGACAGGACATGCTAAACTATTTCGCGCGATGGCAGATTCAGCGGCAACCTTAAAACGGGGGTTTGAAACTCTCCCAAATACGACAGTACATAGCAGGCCTTAGATAATACTCCTGCACTCCTGGGAAAAAGTTCTATACAGAGCATATGCAAGTTTGCCTCGCGTTCTTGCATTGTGAAATAATCAGTTTGGGCCGATTGATAGATCAACACGCAAAACTCGTTCCAATATTTCTTTTATACTCCTAGCGCATATGTCTAGCATTAGCCTCACATGTAGAAGGCGGAATTGAGGGAATGGGAAATGGGGCTGCGGGGGCGAGAAAGTGGGGCTGGACTACTGTGACTGGATCCACACGGAAAAGTTTTTCTTCTCTCTGCGTGCTTGGTTATATATTCATTAATTTTCAAGAATCATCATATTCAAATCAACAAAGCGCAGTAATTACTGCATTTACGATTAATCGTACTCCGCTTGGTGTAGTTGGTTTATCACGTCGGGCTGTAATATCATCAGAATACCTGAAGGTCCCTAGTTCGATTCTGGGAGCGGAGACATTCTTTTTGGCGGTTGGATGAAATCAGGAATTGTTTCTTTTTGGAGTGGGGCTGTGTCAGTCAGGCTAAGAGCGGTTAGAGGAACAGTATTGACAAACTAATTTAGGGGATAACGATCTTTTTACATTTTAATTGATTGATGATCACTTCTAAAGATTTATTTCTATGTTCACTACATGTTTTAACTCGCATTGAAAGAACCAAACACAATCGCTTTCCCAGACTCGTTGTTTTCCTGTACGAGCGACTTCTCGAGCATAAGTAGCAGATGCGAAGTTCGGATGAGAAGCTCTGCGAATACAAATTAGCACACGAAACATTAACGTGGGATTGAGGAAGCGTACCGTCGTACTCTATCTCATAACTCACTGGCATGTCTTCTTCATCAGCTCGTATTAAGACTGGAACATCCCTCCTCAATTTTCTCTCCTTGATATTAAATTTCAAGCCTGTATTCCTGGCCTGGCTGACCCAGAGAATACTCTCGTCGCTCAAATCTCTCTTCTCTTCTACGATTTCCCGTACGGCTTTCTTCCCCTTCCCTTCATGTTTCAAGCCCTCCTGTGGTGTGTCTGGCATCACGGTCCTGCCTTTCACAGCCATATCTCTCAGCCAGTCCCTCCAAACTCTCACCACCCCTTCCTCCACCCCCACAAAGCACGCGAATAGCCCATGTCTCGGCCCAATCTTCACCAGATTCGTCTGCGCAACTAACTGCGTAAACAGTTCATGCCCATCCAAGCTCAGTATCTGCTTCACAGTCTCGCCCTCGAACTTATCCGCAGGAGAGCCTGGATACGTTCGGCTGCCAGGTACATCCCCAGGTGGTCTTCTCACACGCCTGCCCCCACTTTCGAGCTCGCGACGGTGCGGCTGGAAGCGCGAGTATAGGTTCCGCATCTGGCCCAACCGCGCAGCCACCTTTGTGTTATCGTTGGACAGAGGATCGTAATGTGTGAGGCCATCAGTGCCATGGTAGGTACAAAAGTAGGGTGGCTCGGTGAGCCTTGCTGAGGGTTGATAGCATTCTAGGAGGAGTGTGTGCGAACTCAATTCCGAGGCTGCTACAAGTCGCGTTTGTAGAATGCGGAGGATGAGAGTGTAAATACGATGCGAGAGGACGGCTAGGCGGAGCAATTCGGGAGTGGGTATGGGGTTGAGGAGGTGGAGGATGATCTGTAAGTGATCGTTAGTGGAATGAAAGTAAAGTGGTGCTTAGTGAAATACTTCATTGGGGAGCTTGTAGAAATGGCATTTCGGCATTGATTCGGTCATAATAAATGGAAGCTGTAAGAAAGGCGGGAGCGGTCGTAGATGGGCTCGAAAGAGTGGTGATGGATATAAAGCACTGAATGGAGATAAGAGGCCGCGTGAGATATCGTCATTGGTTCAAGCTAGTTCTATTCGAGAAACGAAGCTCTAGGCGATATTAGGTTAGCTTCAAATCCCGACGTGGCTGCCATTTCGAGATGGAGACCTTCCCTTCATCACAACCTCAATTCAACTCCACACTCTGACCTCCCAGATCGAGGGCTGTAGAGGTGCCCGTAGATCTCTTACGACATGCAGAACTTTGCGAAGCGCGCCAAATCCGGGGACGCTCAAAATGGCCAGCCCAGTGGCTTGAATCGAGCAGCTATCGCCGCCAATGCGAAAGCTCCAATACAGAGAACGATTCTAAACCACCAGGATCATGTGCAGCAGCATTTTCCGGCACGGCGACAAAACGGAGGCCAAGCTAATCCTCCAGTGGTGCAGCAGCAGCCACAGCAGCCACAGCAGTGGCACCAAGGTCCAGGTCACGGCACGCAACAAAAAGCTGATGTTTACGACACCGATACTGAGAGTCTCGACACGACTGCTCATCAGCGGTCTGTGATGCAAGTTGAAGATGGCCAACAGCATGGCCAGCAATATGTTCAAGAGCTTGTTGGGGATGATGAGTATGACGAGGATGGGAGCGACGATGAAGACGAGGAAGGCGATGACGAAGAGGGTGGGGGCGACGGCGAATTTGAGGGTACGGACAGTCAGGAGCAAGCATACGAGGAACATGAACAGCAGCTACTTAGACGAGCTGGAATCGCCCATGCCCCTCCAAACGTGCAACAAGCATTCTTGGAAACCTATGAGCCCCAAAGAGGCGTGTTCGACGGTGACGAGTCATATCCAACAACCGCCTCTGGTCCCCCGAGCAACTTCCCACAGGATCAAGAACAGACTCCAGATGACTGCGATCAACAGATCGTTTCTCCATCCCCACAACGTCCTGTAATGAAAGGTCAACCGGTTCAACGCCCTCCAGCTGCTCTAGAGACTACACACACAATGTACAGCCAACCCCAGGTCTTTCAGAAAGCGGCCGCCCTTCGTGTGAACCAGCGCACCGATAGCAATGTCCCAGTGCGCGGAGGAGCACTCCAACAATCGCATCGCACTCCTCCCCCAAATACTCAACCTACAATATACAGCCAGTCCACTCCTCCTAATCTATCTAACGGAAACACGCATCAAAATGTTCGCATGCGCGCCAATCACGCTCCTCGGCGCGGTCCACAGCAGCCTTCCGCCCCGACACACCCTGGGTCTGTCAAGCCAGTTCAACAGCCAGCGCCTGCCAAGCGTGCTATCCCATCCCAATTAGTGGAGGAGGTTCATATTCATGAACAACCTGTGAAGGAGGTCCATGCTCATCTACAAGCGCCCGTGGAAGACTACGACCGACCGGCTCTTTTGAAGATGGACTATGAGCAGCTCAAGAACGAGGACTTTGACACCATTCCTCGTGCCACCAATCCAGTTCTCTCTCAAGACATGCTTCAGAAGCCGCTCATTGATCGTCTGACGCATGTCCGAAAAAGTCTCAACTCTGAAGATCAAGGGAAGTTCTTCAGCTCTCTGCCAACGGACGAGTGGGAGGAGGCCGGTGATTGGTTCCTTGGACAATTCAGCAGCATCATCGAGCGTACGAAAAACGCAAGGCAAGAAAAGCGCAAATTGGCCAAGGACTTTGAGGCAGAGGTTGAGCAGCGCCATCGGAAGGTTGCGAAGAAGCAGCGCGAGGTGGAACATGCTATGAGCAAGATGAAGGCACACGGTCAGAATCTAATGCCCAAGAGTCCAATGAGGGGGTCAAAGAGTCCGATGAGGGAAAAGTGAGCAAGCCGAGGATATGCTGTTATGAATGGGCTTCGAAGGGCGCATCAAAGAGATGGGCAAAGGCGTGAATTTGGTGTTATGAATCCTTCACTGTACAATTTAAGAGCGTTGCGTCAAAGACAGGGACATTAGCGTAGACACGAGAGCATATTTGGTTTTACATTCGCGTTTTATATACCCTTAGTTATTCACAAGTATTTGTCCTAATTCTACACAAAGGCAGATCTCAGAATTCATAATTGTCTTTAATCGTGTTTCAGCTAAAGTAATCTGCGCTGCCATCATTTTTAAAAACATATATCAACTAATCAGGGCAAGGAAGTCAGTAGCGAGATCCCCAGAGCCTTCAATGGAGGAATACAGCTATATGAGAAGCCAGCACTCCTCATGTATCTCCTTTTGATGTACCCAAAAATACACTAAGGGTAGGAAATAGGGTTGGTGCTATGCTGAAGAAGAGATTGGACTAAGTTGTAATGTGTTCTATTGGAAATATACTGCGAGGATGCAGCAAAAGTAGTAGCGACAAATTACGTAACTCCATGTCTGCGCGTCGTCTTCAAATTTGTAAATGATCATTGCTACCCAGACTCTTCACTGACTATATATAAGCCCTGTGTCTATCAATGGAGTAGTTTATATCTATGCACAGAAGTGCCGGACACGTTAAAACGAAATTCACTTACCTGAATTGTCTGTAGAGAGCCAGGAGAAGATTATTCGGCTGTCTTTCACATGCTATCTTCTTCATACATGCAAGCAATGTGAACCATATGAACATCGAACCGGAGAATCTGCTGATTCGCCGGCTTCAAGGTCCATTGCTTGAGAATCAGCTTAAGGCTATGTTCATGAAATGGTACAAGGATTCACAAACGAAGAACAGCCTCGTTGATCCTACGCTGGACAACAACGCACTACGCGAGTTCCTGGTGGGGGTGCTTCAAAAGTTCTCTCGACGACTATATCTCGTTTTGGATGGGATAGACGAATGCGACTATGATGGCCGCGATCAGCTGCTCGAGTTCCTTTAGAAGTTCTCCAAGCATGGCACTCCAGTCAACATTTTCCTTCATGCCGATATGATGAACATATCAATATAAAACTACCTCCTGGCAGAAGGATACTTTAAATGAAGACCTCGAGGGCTCGAGACCATTCAATTGCCGCTTTCCACGTAAATCACCTCCTCTGTCGGCAATCAGAAGACATAAGAGAACTGGTTACAGATGCACTATCGGAAAAGGCGTCGGGACGATTCGGTCTCGACTGCTGTGAAATGGGCTGGGATGTCTAGAGAACTTACTACCTTAAAGCTGTTACTACGGGACGACGCCTCGGGAAAGAACCTCCGGAGCGGCCCGGTTCTCTGCGAGTTCATACGCATCTGGAAAGACGCGAGGCTTACAAAGAGTGCCAACGACGCTAAGTGGAGAGAGCTTTTCAACATGCTCATACGTGGATATGTTGCCGACAATTCAGCATCCCAAAACGTTCGTGATTGGGCTAACACGATACTTTGCGCCGCAGCTCGTGTGGGATGCAAGCCCGTTATCGAGATATTGTTCAAGACGGCTTCCGGAGATTGCACACTCGCAAAGGCTTTGCTTGAGCAAACCCAGATGCAAAATGTATATCAGTCTTTTGGCGAGGCCGCTTTCTGGGGCCACGCAGATGTCGTACACTATCTTCTCACACAACCTTATGTCGACATCAGCACTCATCTACTATCGCTCGGTCTCTAGTGGAAGACCTTCCGAGTCCTCTGGCAGGAACGTACTCCATTGTGCTACCAACTCTGGAAATGCAGACATCTTTCATATCTTTGTAAAGAAGATT